ATGCAACGGGGAACAACCCTAGTTTTCGGAATAGATTCATCTGAGTCCTTAGGGTCTCTTGGGAAAGGGACCAAGAGTAAGAAAACCCATACCTTATTTTGAAGTTCAAAGATTGAACTTGCTTCCAAAAGACCCTCTCCAAAATCACGTCCAAGTCCGAAAGCTTCAACACCAACTCGACGGAAAAACCCTTCCTGTTTTCCTAATGTTTTTTGTTATGTTTTGTATGTGTTTTTAGCATGAAAGTTCTTCAAGTGTGAAGAAATTTTGGTTGTTAATCAGTTCTTGTGTTTAGGCAGAGAGTACATGAAAAGAAAAGAGTGATATTGACGTGAGAGAGAGAGAGAGAGTTAAAATGTGAAAGGTAGTTTACGATTAGGTGGAGTAGTTTAGACTTAGTTAACTAGGACTCTTTCAAACCTTTAAAAATATGATTTTACTTTTTAGTAAATCATCTAATAAATATTAATTAATTAAATTAATTTACCAATTTAAATAAAACTATTTAAATCATTGCTCCCACCTAGATTCGAACCTTGGTGAAGCAAGATTTTGCTAAAAGGGAAATTTGGCCCTCTCTCCCTAAAATACCCTCCACCTTATTAATTAAATAATTAATTACATAATTAGGGTAATAACGATACAACCCTTAGCTTGGAAAGAGACCATTTTATCCCTAGACCCTCCAAACATAAGATTTCCCATTTTTAAGTCCAATAAAGACTCATCCAAGTGAATATTCATATTCGGAAGCCCTACCTGGATGGACCCAACCTTTCATAGCTCAACTAACTCCCCAAGTTAGTTGGCTTGGATGCCGCAAGGGTTCAGAGGTCTGGTTCTACGCGCATCAATTTTGTGTGAACCCGATCTAATCATAGGAATTCTAGACACATTAAGCATTACTTATCATATCCTTTTTTATGGTTGTTACATTATCCCCCCCCCCCTTTTGAACATTCGTCCCCGAATGACACTTCTTATAATCTATCATAACACCAGTCATATCATAACATAACCACTTTGCACAGTCAAGCAGTAGCAACAAAGAATGGATAGATAAGGACACTTCGACATAAGAGTATGGAATCTAACCTCAAGGATTGAAAAGATGGGAATAGAGGGATCTCATATCGGCCTCGACCTCCCACGCAGAACCCTCAATAAAATGATTACTCCATAATACCTTTACAGTGGCAATCTTTTTGTTTCTCAGCTGCTTGACCTGTCTGTCAAAGATCTCAACAGGTACCTCATCATAGGGCAAGTCTTCATCGACCCCCAATCTTTCTGCCAGTAGAATTGATGATGGATCACCTAGGCACTTCTTTAACATGGATACATGAAAGACTGCATGGACAGAAGCTTGCTCCGCAGGCAATGCCAACTCATAGGCCACTTCACCCCCATACTATAGGATCTCATATGTCCCAACATACCCCGGACTCAACTTCTCCATCCTACCAAACCTCATCACTCCCTTCATAGGTGATATCTTCAAATAGACCTGTTCACCAAACATCATACTCTAAGGGCCATTTTCTATTATTTGCATAAGATTTTTGCCGACTCGAAGTAGTAGCCAACCTGTCCTTAATCACCCTGACCTTCTTTGAGGCCTCATGAATGATCTCTGGACCCAAAATAGATGTCTCTCCATCCTCGAACCACCCAAATGGAAATCTACACCTCCTACCATACAGTGCCTCAAACGGTGCCATCCCAATGCTGAAGTTATAGCTGTTTTTATATGAGAACTCTATCAAAGGCAGATGGTCGTCCCAACTACCTCAGAAGTCAATCACACACGCCCTCAACATGTCCTCTAATGTCATAATGGTGCGCTCTGCCTACCCATCAGTCTGATGATGAAAGGCAGTAGTAATATTTACCTGCGTGCCTAAGATCTTCTGGAATGATCCCTAGAAATGTGAAGTGAACTGAGCTTCTCTATCTGAAATGATAGACAAAGGAATCCCATGCCATCTCACAATCTCTTCATTGTAGAGTCTCGCATATTCCTCGGCTCTTTAAGTAGACTTCACAAGGATAAAGTGGGCAGACTTAGTCAACCTATCCATAATAACCTATATGGAGTCATGTTGTCTTCTAGTCCTCGGAAGACCAACCACGAAGTCCATTTAATGGCCTTTCATTTCCAAGTCGAACCTCAATAGTCTGAGTAAAACCACTAGGCTTAAGATGTTCTGCCTTAACCTGCTGACATTTAGGACACTTGGCCACATATTCTGCAATGTCCTTCTTCATGCCATCCCACCAATAGATCTGCTTAAGATCATGATGTATCTTGGTTAAACTTGGATATATGGAATATCTAGAATCATGGGCCTTTGCAACAATCTTGGTCTGCAAATCATCCACATTTGGTACAAACAGCCTGTCCTGGTACCTATGTACGCCGTCACCTTCCAAAGCAAAAGACTCATTCATCTTTATCAACACTAAGTCCTTCAGCTCCATCAACACATGATCAAGATGCTGACCCTTCTTGACTTCAACTACTAAGAATGATTTAGAACTAGGATAAACTGAAGCATCCCCACTAGTAGAGTAAACTAACCGCACAACCCGTCTTGCCAGTCTGTGTATATCTTTCACCAACTCTTTCTTCTCATCCTCAACGTGGGATTTACTTTCCATGCTCATCCTGCTCAAAGCATCAGCTACAACACTAGACTTACCTGGATGGTAATGGACGTTCATGTCATAGTCCATCAACAGCCCCAACCATCTCCTCTAATGTAGATTCAACTCTCTATGTGTGAACACGTACTAGAGACTCTTCTGGTCTGTGAACACATCCACGTGCACTCCGTACAAGATATGCCTTCACAGTTTCAATGCAAAGACCACAGATTCCAACTCCAGATCATGAGTGGGATAATTCTTCTCATGAACCTTGAGCTTTCTGGACGCATGAGCTATCACCTACCACCCTGGATAAGAAGACAACCCAAACAAACCTAGATGCATCATAATAAACAATGTAATTCTCATCACACTTAGGCAAAGTAATCACCGAGGCTAATGTGAGCCTGTCCTTGAGCTCCTGGAAACTCTTCTCACAAGTTTCCGTCCACTCGAACATGGCCTTCTTCTTAGTCAAAGCTGTCAGTGGGGAAGCAATGGAAGAAAAAAACCCACGAACCCGCGGTAGTAACAAGACAATCCTAGAAGTCATCTGTGGGAGTAAGAGGTTTTGGACAGTTTTTAACAACCTCAGTATTTCTGGGGTTCACCTCCACACCCTATCGGATATAATATGACCCAGGAAGGTCACTGATCTTAGCAAGAATTTAACTTGCTGAATTTGGCATACAACTAATTTTGTCTAAGAACCTGCAAGGTTAGTCTCAAATGATGTTCATGCTTTTGCTTTATCTTAGAGTAGATGAGAATTTCATTAATGAACACTATGATGAAAGAGTAAAGGTATTCATGGAAGACTCTGTTCATGAGATCCATAAATGCAGCAGGTGCGTTCGTGAGACCAAGTGTCATAACTAGGAACTCATAGTGACCATAATGGGTGTGAAAGGCTGTCTTTGGGATTATCTCCATCCCTAACCCTAAGCTAATGGTACCCTGAACGAAGACCAATCTTCGAGAAGAAACTAGACCCTTGGAGTTAGTCGAACAAGTCATCTATTCTTGGAAGTGGATACTTTTTCTTGATAGTGACTTTGTTGAGCTGCCGATAATCGATACACATTCTAAGGGTTCCATCTTTCTTTTTCAAAAACAACACTAGAGCTCACCAAGGGGATATGCTCGGCTGAATGAAACCTTTATCAGTGAGATCTTTTAACTGCAGCTTCAACTCTTTGAGTTCAGCTGGAGCCTATCTGTAAGGAGGAATTGAAATTGATTTAGTTTCGGGTTCTAAGTCGATACCAAAGTCAATCTCTCGAGGGGGAGGAACTCTAAGCAAATCATCAGGAAACACATTTGGGAACTCATTCCATACAGGCGCTGAGTCTATTGAACGTCATTATGTAAATCATTAACACTCACAAGATGACACAATAACCCCTTGGACATCATTTTATTAGCCTTAAGGTTTGAAATCAAGGGATTAGGATGACTTGAGTTGTAACCCTCCTAGACCAGCTCTTCTTCATTAGGGAAACAAAATCTCACAACCCTACTACGACAATCCATACAAGCATAACAAATATGAAGCCAGTCCATGCCAAGAATAACATCAAAATCATGCATTTGTAACTCAACCAAGTCTACACACATAGTATAACCACATACAGGTATTGGGCAATCCTTGTATACTCTATCAGTTCTTACAATTTCTCTTAAAGGTGTACTAACCACTATAAGATCATGCAGAACTTCAGGCAGTATCTCAAAAGTGAGAGCAAGTAAAGAAGTTACAAAGGAAAGCATACACCCTGGATCTAGTAAAACATAAACAAAAGTTGAGAATACTTGCAACATACCTATGACCACAACAACGAACGTCTCTTGCTCCTCCCTGCCCTTTAGGGAGTAGAAACTGATCCTCTTAGGAGGCTCGGCTATTGCTGCACCCTGTTGACACTCAATTTGGACCCTCTTCGATAATAATTAATCGATGAGCTTCTTAATTCTAAACGATTTAGAATAATTAGTTTTATAAAATTCAAATTATTTTTCAAGTTTTATTTAAATAGTTTTGTCACTTTTTATATTTTTAGATAATGTATACATTTTACAGGATTATGTATATAATTAATATATTTAATGATTATTAAAAAATCATCTCAAAAGATTTTAGTTCTAGTAAAATATTTTAGACAACTTGCTTGGTTTAAATAATAACTTATTTTAGGCTAATTACTTTATAACTAAAATAATTATTTTATTTTTGTTAATATTAAGAAGCTCATTAATTAATTTATATTAATTCATATTATTTAGTTACTAGTGAAATCTTTAAACCCAAACCCATTTAGAGATCAAATTTTGGATCTTTATTGCTTCCAGCCCAATTCTTTTTCTGCCAAAAGGAAATTACTCCCAGCCTAATTCTGCCCATATGATCCGACCCCATCATCTCTTCTCCATTTTCCATTCTTCTTCACGCGTAGCTCAGGTACGAAGAAACCCAGAAACTCGACCCGACTCGCTCTCCAGCACGCAAACCGGAATCTACTCCAGCATTGTGTCTCTCTTCCACCCTTATCCTCTTCTCCGTACAAAGCCGTTTGGAGGATAGCCAGGTGTCTCAATCTTGTGTTTCATCCGTCCTTGCTCCTCATATCGAACGAATCTCCTTGATATTCTATTGGAGAGTCGTACTTTTTCCAGCTTTCAACTTTATCCCCTTCAGCAAATTCAAATTTCAAATTGGAATTCACCAATTGCTTCACTCATCCCCCCCCCCCCCCCAAAACCCCCCCCAAAAAAAAACTAAAAATCTCCTATAAATACTGCTCTTCTTCGCTGATTAAGGAGAGGAAGAATTCGGTTTTAAAAATACATCAACAAGAAAGAATACAAACAAAAAAATCCAATAGATAAAATATAGGAGATATATATTCTTTTGTTCACTGCTTATAAAGCTGGTCGGAGCCTTTTGTGGTGGTGGAAGCTCTTCTGTGGTCATCTGCCTCAGTCCGCTGCCTCGAGAAAGGTATCATCGCTTCCTTCCGTATTTCATTTTCAATGTAGCATGTTGGTTGTATTTGGTACTCGCTTTCCTGTGATTTTCAGAAAGTGAGATTGAATTCGGAATCAATATGGTTTGCTTTTGGCTTATGTTGGCCATGTTGTTTGCATCTATATGAGTTACACTTTGAATATATTCACTAAGTTGGTCTGCCCTCCCTTCGTTTTTGCTTATATAACTAGCGAAATAGATTTTCATTTTAGAAAATCATGGTTTGTATTCCAAATTATTTGTGTTTAGTTGTATACCGTCATTAAGAATAACTAAAGTCAATAAGAGCTTTTCTATCTCTAAAGCAGCTGGAAGGACCTTGCTGTTTACATAAAATGGATTTATGTGATTGTTTATGATATGTTTGGTTATAAGCTCTGGAGTTTTGTTAAATCCTAAAGTCTACGACGCTTGCTTTCTTAAATCGATTAAGCTGGCCATTTTTTTTTCATCTCTATCATAAATTGGTATCTTATCTTCAATTGCTCCAGCTGCTTATTTCTCCTTAAATTTCTTGCATTTTCTCCCTTTATCTTTGAGTATGTGACTTCTAACATTGACTAATATTTTGGTGGTAGCGTTAGCTAAATTACTATCGGACCTTGTCATGTGTATTTTAATTTGAATGAAGATTTGTTTTAAACACTAGCAATGGATCATTCTTTGATGTTATTACATGTAGGTTACCTTCAAGATGGGGTAGTAAATGTATTTCATTTGGCAGCTGCTTTTGGCTTAGAAATCACTAGTATTAAGTAGCATAATCTCCCTTGGGTTTTAGTAATTTTATCACCATTATTCTCTAATCTGATGACTAATATCTCGTCTAATTTTCTTGCTGATTTGCACCTCGATTTTGCTTTGAGATGGATCTTGTTCCATATAAGTTACATGACCTCCATTGCTCTTGAGTATCGTGATACAATTACTGTTCCTGGTTAATTAAATTTCATCTAAAGTCGGGTCTGGATCAATTAAAATCTGTGTAGTCATTTTTTTTTTTTTTATCATTGTGATTAGATGCTAACTATTATTCATGTGTTCTTTTCATGTGAAATCTCTCCATGAGTCCTTACAGACTCTTATCACTTCTTCTTGCATCTCGAGTTCGTTCAAAATCCGATTCTCGTCTTGAGTCTACCCCCTCGACAAGCTCCAAAACTGATAGGCAGGTTGAGGTCAATAAATGTAGGCTGGAAATTAATTTTGCAGGTCTCAAAAGGCCCAAAAGAGGGCAGTATACATGAAGTATACCGTTGTATACACAAGTATACACGAAAAGAATCGTTATATACAGGTCTGAACTGATAAAACAGATGATGGAAGTCTGAAATGGGCAGCATACACTCAGCATACATCCTAATACACGGAAATGAGTCTAAATACGTATTGTATACACCCATATACATTTGATGTATACACAGATTTAAGCATGGGGAAGGAAGGAACATAGGGCTAGAAGTCCAAAAATTCCAGCAAGCCAACATGCCCAAAATGTGGCAAGATCAATTTTTGGGTCACTTTAAATTTAGGACATGTTTTAATATTTGAGTATTATATATATATATAATACTCTCTTCCTTTTAACTTATTTTTTTGTATTATTTTGACTAGCTTGTCTTATTCTATGGTTTAATTTAATTAAGTTCCCGAGATGGCCATATATATATATATATATATATATATATATATATATATATATATATATATATGGCCATCTATATTTAGTCTTATCAATCACTTTAAGTCATTACCCTCTTAAAGTGATCTCCTCTTTCCCCCCTAAAATAATTCATTATAAAATGATAATAGTAAATAATTAAATAAATTTTTTCACCTAGTTTCAATATTTGAAAAAAAATATTTTGAGTGGTAATTAGTCAAATCGCCGTTCAACCGCGAGTTAGCGGACATTCCGAGGGCCTAATACCATCTCAGAATGTATATTTGAAGTTCGAACCCTTTTCAATTTATTTTATCTGTTTTAAGCCTTTTAAAAATTAATTTTAAGTTTTTTCTTGGTTTTTAGTAAAAATCAAGTGGCGATTCTGTTAACTTGGAAGGTCGATTTTTCTTAAATCATAAGATTAATTGTTTTTTCAAAACTTATTCATTATATATATATATATATATATATATATATATATATATATATATATTATATTTTAAACTAAAAAAACACCCTGTAGATTAGGATTAGGCTGAGCATTACCTCCAGCCTGACCCCTGTTCTGTGGGCAGTCCTTAACCATGTGCCCGCTCTTACCGAAACCGAAACACGCAATAGTGCCCTATCTGCACTCTCCACTGTGAGCACGACCACCCTTAGCACAGTTCTTTCTAGGACACTGCGTTTCATCGCCATTGACCTTCTTGGGCTCGGGTCTGCCTTCTCTAGGTGATGTACTTCTCTGAAAGTTAGAGTTCCCTGAACTCTATTGCCCCTTTTTGAATCTGGGCTGCTTATGGATGCCAAAATTGTTTCTTTTGCCTCCATTGCTTGGACTTTCCTGATCATAAGACTTAGGCCTCCTAGCATCACAGACGCCCTTCTTCTTTCGGCTTTTCTCCACCTGCTGAACATGCACTATCAACCTGGAGAGGTCTATGTTATCGTGGAGCATCGCAGCCCGACACTCCTCCTCCAGATCTATGGTGATTTCTGTGAGGAACCGACTCATCTCATCCATGTTGTTAGATACAAGGGAAGTAGCATACCTGGATAGTTTAACAAACTTCAGGGAATACTCTCTGACTGTTTTTGATCCCTGCTTAAGGTTGAAACTCATCAACCTTGGCCTCCCTCATCTCCTTGGGGAAGAGTCTCTCCAAGAAGGCTGTCTTAAACAACTCCCAAATGACCGAAACTCTGCCTAAAGCTCGGCTATCCTGCAACATCTTGCACCAACTTTGTGCAACATCCTTGAGCTGATAGGAAGCCAACTCAGCCTTCTTAATATTGGTGGCCCCCATGGCCGCCAAAATCTTGTGTATCTCATCCATGAACTCATGCGGATCCTCTGAAATCTTAGACCCTATGAAAATAGGAAGATTCATCTTCGTGAAGTCTCGTAGCCCGTCAACCATGCTACATAGCGGTGGGTTCTCCCTCTAAACATTTTGCCGGTTGACCTGGGCAGTCATGGCCTGGGCCTGCATAGTGATGGCCTGTGCCTTCTTGGCCAGAGATGCCCTCACCTCCGCATCCGTCAACCCAACTAAGTTAACTAGCATAGCCACTCCTTCAGCTGGAACCTGGCGTGGAATCAGATTGTCCCCAGCAGCTGCTCCTCCTCTCCTCTGGCCAACATTCCTCCTAGTATTCATTATCTAAAAAAATAAGAATTGATGTTAGACACGCTCAGAATACCAAGAAATCAGACATTAGGAAAAGACACGATAAGATCAGAAGAAGAGAAAGTTTCCTACGCATCATGCAATCTCAAATTCAAGATAGGGGTGCACTTCACTACCATGACTTAGAAACTACTCAATGTGGTTGATGTGAACTTATTATCCTCGAAATTTAACCTAACGCTCTAATAACAACTTTGTCACGACCAAAATCTAGACCCCAGACAAACCGATGTCTTTGACCTCTCAAAGGTCGCAGGCCTACATACGTCATTGTTACTTCATATAGGTTAATTTTAGAGGAAAATTTGAACTTTTTGTTACTTAAAATTCAGTTAAGTCATTATACTTAAACTCATAAACGTTCACAATCACCCATCTACTATTAAGATCATCAAATGAAAGAAATAGTTCATAATTACATTAAACGTATTTTTGCCAAAACGACACCAATACAAACTCTAAAATGAAAGTGGAAATGAAGCACTAGTAGAACATGCTCCACTACCTAAATCCTACATCTAAGCTAGAAAATAACAGTAGACATCCTCAAAAGTATGAGGCCTACCAAATCCAGATGAATGCTCCACATCCGGACAACTGCAATATCGTACTGTAAGCTTTAACATCCATCCTTGTCTACACCTAAAAGTAGATATTGTATTGGATTAGTACACACTTGTACTAAGTATGGGTATATGCAAGCACACACTAAGGACATGCATGAGTAAGAATAACTCTTTCCTAACAATATGATTTATGGAAAGTCAAGTCGGTGGACTTGCCAAATTTTGATTAGGAAAGGCAATGGGCTTGCCATAATTGGATTAGGAAAATCACTAGGCTTTCCAAATTTGATTTAGGAAAGTCATGCCATGAGAGTAACATGCATCATCATACATATCATATTGCACACAACACATAACATATTACACATAGCACATAACATATTTCTCATAGCATTCGATCATATGCCATGAGACCTTGAAATCATGGACTTGACATTAAGACTTCCCAAAATGAGGGATAAACATATAGGACCTCAATTAGGGAGTCTTCTTTAGCAAACACAGAGTCTGCTTCATTCATTCATACGCACTTCATTTCTTTTATTCATATACTAGTGCAATCACTAGTCATACCTAGGATGTAGTTTCAAGACTCTCAGCGGGTTTGATGTGCAATGATCAAGAATAACCTAGTGTCATTACTTGAGTCTAGCTCACCTCTTGATTATCCTATATTAACACCTTTCGTATCGTTCATTTCATTATGTGCATCATTTGAGTACGTTACACTCTCACAGGTGAGTACGTTTTTTTAACATTTACTGAGACTCATTTGAGATTACTCTAATCTTTCACATTAGCCTCTTATGATGTTGTCAAAAAATTCATTAACTTTAGCATATTTGCTTTTCATTAATACTCACCCCTTTTTCGTGAATGTTCATTTCATCATATGTCAATGCACTTGGCCATCTAGTGTGTTGCACACTCTTACTTAACCCGTCTATGGTTACATTATTTCATTTCATACATCTTAGGTTCACTTACTTTTTAAACGTATGCTAGACTTATGGGTCTATACATACAAGCCATGAGGCTACATTCATAGTTCGTTTAAGTGATTCGTATCTTCCTAAGATTTTGTTATATAAGATTATACATCTTGTATTTATGCCAAGATCATCGATTTCGATCTACGTAGGCAACATTATTTTGAACATTTATTCACGTATGACTTATGTATCAATATAGAAATTGGTCAAGGAAACCCGATTTTGAATTCCTTGGAAAACACTTACATTTTTATTTATTTTAGTTTGATCCACTCGGCCTGGAGATCCAAGATTGAGACCCAACTCCTTTGCTTCATTTTCCCTTAATTTCTTTATTTTTCGTTCGTTTGGGACCAAGAGGATGTGGGATCGAACCTCCTCAACCTCATTTTATTTTATTCTCTTTTTCCTTAAACCATTTTCGTTTGCCCGAAAGGGTGTGGGATCGAACCCCCACAACCCTACTTTATTTTTTGCTTAATTTCCTTTATTCAGCCGAGAGGTTATGGGTTTGATTCCCAAATGCCTTAACTTTTATTTTTCTTTTAATTCTTCCTTAATTCTGACCGAGAGGTTGTGGGTTCGAACCCCACACATCTCATTTTTATTTTTCATCATCTTTTTCATGTTTTGGTCAAGGCACACGGGTTCGAATTCCACATGCCACATTCTTTTTTCTATCACTTTATTTCTATGATTTTTAACATGGTGAGGTCACAGGTTCAATTCTCAGTAACCTCTCTTATTTTGAATTCATTTTATATAGCATGATACACCACTTAGCTTTGTAGGAACTCATCAACAAGATGCTGGAAATTATGTACGTTTTAAAGCTCGTGTTCATCAACGTTTACACGTTAGTTCTTAGGGTAATTCATGGATCATTTAGTACATCTTTAGGTTCATTTTTATGGATTCACTTAGCTAATAGTTTCTACTTAAATCATCTTATTATACTTCATGTGAACATTACAATTTATACAAGTTTGTGCACGTAAGAAAACAACCATAACATGTCATTTTCGAACTTCAAACCAAGTGTATAGGTCACGGCTACACATTGCACACACACAAACACATAGTTTCGGGCATCATACTTAATATTCACATAACTCAAAACATACATACATGAACGTAATCATCACGAAAACACATTACATCCCTAATTCCTACAAGCAAACATACCCAACCTACAAATCGATGGGAACTAGTGACAGGGACATGCAACGAGGAACAACCCCAATTTTCGGAATAGGTTCATCTGAGTCCTAAGGGTCTCTTGGGAAATGGACCAAGAGTAAGAAAACCCATACATTATTTTGATGTTCAAACCTTGAACTTGCTGCCCAAAGAACCTCTCCAAAATCATGTCGAAGTACGAAAGCTTAAACACCAATTCGACAGAAAAACCCCTTCCTTTTTCCTAATGTTTTTGGTTATGTTTTGTATATGTTTTAAACATGAACTTAAAGTGTGGAGAACCTTTGGTTTATAATAAGTTCTTGTGTTTAGACAGCGATAACATGAAAAGAAAAGAGAGATATTGATGTGAGAGAGAGAATTAAAACATGAAAGGTAGTTTAGGATTAGGTGGAGTAGTTTAGACTTAGTCAACTAGGACACTTTCAAGCCTCTAAAAATCTGATTTTACTTTTTATTAAATCATCTAACAAATATTAATTAATTAAATTAATTTACCTATTTAAATAAAACTATTTAAGTCATT